TTTTTTGACAAAATAATTTAGAAATTTTTTCTTCAACAAAAATTTTGAAACACATGAAGTTCAAATTGATTATTTTGATCTTTCATTTCATTTCATTTATATTTGTTGTCAATTACTCATTCCATCAATCATTCATTCATCCAAGTAAGGGGATAACATTTAAATCTTGTGGAACAAACAACAAAAAAAAAATCCAGTAGCCTGATTTCAAAATTAAAAAAATTTAAATTTAAATGATCAATATTCGGATGTTTGCATGTAATTTAAAAGTTTGTCGAATCACAAAATGATGATGATTTAAGAAGAAAATGATCATTTTTTTTATTACGATAAATGTATGTGCAAAAAAAAGATCCATCTGACATAGGTTTGCGGCGGCAGCTTTATAATTTTTATGTTAAACGTATCAATCGTTTTTTTGTTCATTAGATTTATTTTTTTCCGAGATAATTACATAGCTAATCATCAATTTTTGTTCCCGATGATGATGTTTCAGATTGATTAACATCAACAAAAAAAATTATCCGAACATTTTGCTATTATAAGAATAAAGCTTTTGGTTTGAAATAAATGAATAAAGAAATGTTGTTTTATCCATTATTTTACAAAAATTAAATACCAAACGACAAAATAAAAATGATCAGAAAATTACGCCATCTTTTGATCGATAGATAAAATAGGATTCTTTTAATGGGTTTTTTCACATTTCTAACATCGAACATTTATTTTATTGTTCATTGATCTTTAATTAACTTTATTGAGATTCAAATTATAAACTGAATGATATATGAGACTATGTATGTATCAATCATATCATAATTAGAATATTGAATTTAACTTACCTTATTGTATTTCATTCATTTATTGAATTGGTTTGTAAAACTTTTACAGTTGGATAATGGTGATGATAACCGAATAATTATAAATAAATGATAAAAGACAAATATTTTTCACTATTATTTTTTGTTTGATTCAATATATGATAAATTTTGAGAAATACACAGTAAAAAATTTGAACTACATAAAAACATTGACAAAATTCTTGGAAAAATTAGTCAAAAAACAACACTGATTTTCAGTGTAAATCAGTGTTCTGAAACAGTGTTTTTTTCAAACACTAACCAATAACAAATAAAAGGATTGTTGAATGAAATAATGCTAATGATGGTGAATCAAACAAATCATTCACATTTTTTGGTGACAAAAGAAAAAAAACTGATTGTAAAACATTTACATGGAAAACAAACACCAAACAAATTCTCCGATATTTATTTATTTTTCATAATTCATTAGAATAACATTTTTATATTTGTTTCGTAATATTTAGTCTAGTGATACATCATCATTGATGTTGATGATGATGAGAATGATGGCGATCTATCGATTGACCGGAATAATGAAAAATCCCAGAAAAAAAAAGAATGATGATGTAGCATTAAAGTAAAAAGGAGAAGAAAGTTTGAGTAAATTTGATGTTGGTGGGTGTACTTCTGTCTTATTCTTTAAAAAATTTCAAATTCTTTTACACACACACACACCGACACATTTCCAATTTTCAAGAATATTCTCTTAGAATAGTACTGAAACACATACACACACATATAAACATACAATAAACTATTGATGTTATGGAATCCATGTATAGTGAGTAATTTTTGCCGTTCAATTTCGTTCTTTCTTTTTTTTGGTTAAAAATTCTATCATCAAACAATATAACTAGAATCAACTCTACTCTGGAGTAGAGTATAGTTGGGTTCCATAATATTTTCAAGAATTAGTATGGCCGTGTTCGTATGCGATATGTGTTTGTGTGTGCGTGTATATTTGGATGCGCAATCTCATCTTATGATCGAGATGGAATCGATTTTCATTTCCATTACATATAAAATGATAATAATAAAGCTAAATAAACTATGGCTAAATAATGAAACGAACCAGAAGAAAAACAAAAATTTGACAAATGAATGAATTGGATAAAAAAATTCTTATTATTATTGTTATTAAAAGCATAGTTGAAAAACGTTGAAAAAAAGATTCGGGAGCCATCATTTTTTCTTATTATCATATTTTTTTCCAAAACTGATTCTAGTTCTGCTAAGTTCGACTTTTTTTCTGGTTTTGTTTTTGTTGTTGTTTTTTTTGTTTGCGTTGTTTTTGTTTGTTGGAACAAACTAATATAGCCAACGAAAAAAAAAACATTATCGAAAGAATAACATCACTAATGAAGGGTATGGATGTGATGTATGTGCTTGTGTAAAGCAAAAGAGTGCAACTATAGCGAAATGTGTTATATAACGGATTTTTTACTATTTTCGATTCATTTTTGTATATAGAAAATGGTATACCAAAACTTTTTATCAGAATCCAATACTTCTATTACTAGCTATTCTATTTTATACATAATGGTTCCATGCGGATATTATTCCGGTTATATTCTGTTTGCACACACACACATACACACTATCGTAAATTCAAAATGAACTTTATTCGTACGGAATGAAAAAAAACTACAAAATGTGATTCATTTCATTCGCATTTTTTAATTTTTCAAAATGTGAAAAAGAATAATACCGTTTAGTAGATGCTGCTATGCTTCATTTCCTATACGATCCAATAAAAATGGCCATCATATGATAATACAGTGATGATCCGTTTTATAATTGACAAAATAGAGAGATGTTACTGTAGCTATTAAAAAAAAAATCGATAATGCGCAATTTCATTCTCATCGACACTTGGAATTTGTTTCCGCTAAACGAAAAAAATAAATAAATTGCTTCCTCAATATGATTCTTGCCCATTTTGTTTCTCATTGATTGTATCAGAATTTTTATTCTTAAAGAAAGAATACAATATTTGTTTTTTCCCGGCCGAAATAAAATAAACAGGAAACATATTTAAAATATATAAATTAATGTATCGATATGTATTGGCGCCTACAATTCTAAGAAAGCCGAATTCAAATCTAAACTAACAATCCATAATAACATCTTCATTGATATATCATAATATAAACATTATATTTTTCTTTTACGCTTGAATAATAATATGAAATAATATTGAAGATTTACTTGGATTCTTTATTCTATTATATATCATCATAAGATTGAAGATTATTCCGATTCTTCACACATTGAATTCTATGAATAATGGATTTGAACAAATTCCAGAAAAAAAATCTTGTTCGTGACGAATTATTTTCCATGATGGTCATTGTTGATTTTTCTATTAAATGATAACCAAAAAAAAGAAGGAAAAAAATTTCAATTTTAAATTTCAAAGATTTCAAATCCAATCAAATTGCTCATTGTACACTTAATGAATGTGTCCATTGGTCGTATTGCAAACAAACAGCAATAATAGTTTCTAAATATAATGATCATTAAGAATGTTTCAAGATCGTCGAAAGATGTTATTGATAACAACTAGAATTGTATTTCAATCTAATGTATTCATTCCTTTTTTTTCAATTGTATTGCAATTACGACAGAAACGAAAACAGGTTTCAAAATACTACAATGGCAAAATGTCCTTTTTTTTGCTCGCACTCTCTTTTTCTCCAAACTTTTGCTGGTTTGAGCATGAAGATAATAATAATAACAACAACAACACAAATATCAACAATAACAACAACAATATTCGAAGATGCATGGTAATAATAAACATCACCATCATCAAATATCATGATGATGGCGATGATGATGACGTTGAATGCTAAATTGGAATAGGGGAAAAAACAAATTTTCAAATTTATTTTCCTGCTATGAATTCGATTAACAATGATAGAATTATTATTTCGAATGTCCAGTTTGATGATTGGAAATTTAAATCAACTATAAAAACGAAAGCCAACAAACAAATTGATTTGTACGATAATTATATTGGATAAAATCAAACTTGAATTTTGATGAGCATTATATTTTGGGTAAGTTTTTATGTTTCGTCTTTCAACTATTCCCAAAACCAAACAAAACAAAAATCGATGCTTTTTCATTTTATTTCGGAAAAAATATGTTTATTTTTACTTTTGTCTATCCGCATATTATATTATTATTTGGTCATTTTCAATATCGGGTATCATAATCATATCACCAATCGTATTTTTGGAAAAAAAAAATTATCATTTCATTATCCTTTTTCCATTATTCATTTATCATGAAAAATTTATGTATTGTATATCGAATAGAATAGAATAGTTTTGTTTTTGTTTCAATTTGTTTATTTGATCGAAAATTTATGATTAATTCAAATTTTCTACTTTTAGCTACATAGCGACCCTTTTTTTCCCTTGTTGTTTCTATTTATTGATGATGATGATGATGATGAAAACAAAGTTTTTTTTCAAAATGCAAATCAATCTAATTATTTATTCATTTAACAAAAAAGAATAGGATATCTTCATCAATGATATCGAATTGAAATGATTTGTTTTATTGTTTCAATCGTTTTTCCTTTAACAAATTGACTAATTCATAAATCAAAATTTAGCCAATACATATTGTTGAAAACCATAGCAAAAAATGATGACATGATTCGAAATTGTTGCTGATGAGACAACTTAGCTAGACAGAAAACTTAATGTTGAATTGATTAACATTGATAATTTTTTTTGATGGTAATTATTCTGATTATGAACCCAAACATTACATTGTATATCCCATCTTAAAAAACAGATAACATTAAAAAGAGTTTGGTATTTCGCCATTATTATCGACAAATTCATTTTTTCTTCGTAATTTTGGCAATATATTTACATTTGATTTAAGAAAAAAAATTTCGTCAATTTCTCTTAAAATAAGATAAATCGTATTGAATCCTTGTGACACACAATAGGTTGTTTGTTGTTTTCGTTTTCAATTTTTATTTTCATCATCGAAATATTGATCTTTTTTTTCATATTTTTTTTCTCCAAAATAATTATCATTTTCATCGATCATATATAATATAATAATATTTCTATTTGTCTCTTTATGTAATAGTTAATTGTTTTTTTGGAACCGATTTTGTTTTTCCTAAAAATTTTCCTTATTTTCATTAATAATTTGACATTTTTTTCTATAGTTTTATTCTCTCTCTCTTTTCACTCTTTCTCTTTAGTGTTTGGATTTGGGATTGAAATTGCAATGATTTCAAATCAGTAAAATATCAATCAATCAGTCTGTTTTTGTTTTCATTCACATTTTGACGTTAGTTTGGATGCATAGATAGAACAAACAAACAAAAAGCAAACAATAATAATATGATGATGTTAGAAAAGCAATCATCGAATAATAAATCATTGGCAATCAATAATAATGAAAAGTTTGCGAAAAATCATACATCAAAAAGTGCTCATTTGGTAGCGGAAATTCGTCAACGTTTTTTCGAAAATGAATGGCCAAAAAATAAAGGTAAATTTATCTTTGATCATTCCTTTCTTTCTCACATATATATTTTTTTGAATATTAATTTTCATAGAATTATATAGTGAACAAGATGTTGAGCGTATGCGAAATTCCGATTGGTTTGTCAAACGATACTTGTTGCAAAGTCGTAGAAATGTTGATAATGCTTATAATTTATTAGTATCAGCATTACGTTGGAGATGTGAAATTAATTTTCCTAACTTGGAAGCAAGATATTTTCCAAGAGAATTTTTTGAAATCGGTGGATTATTTTCTTATGAACCTGATCGACAAGGTAATCCAGTTATCTATCTACGTATTCGAATGCATAAGAAAATTAAAGATTTGGAACAATTTGTCAAATTATTTTTATTTTTCACTATTAATCGTGTTGATTTGGAAAGTGGTGAAAATGGTTGCACAATTGTTTTCGATTGTAATGGTGCAGGTTATTCTAATATGGATCTTGATCTTTTGAAAAGTCTTATTGATGTTGCATTCAAATTTTTTCCCTATTGCATACGAATGGTCATTGTTCATGAACTATCATGGATGCTAAACGCTTTTCGTAAGATTGCTATGACATTTATTCCATCGGCATTGGCTTCAATTGTTCGATTTACTAATAAGAATGATATAAATCAATATATTGCACCGGAAAATTTACCCGATTTTATGGGCGGTACATGTGAACGTGATTATCGTGCTGTTCCAGATAATTGTCGTACAATAGAAGAAGCATGTTTAGAAGTAGGTATATCATCCGAAAAAGCTCAACAACTTCTCAATCAATTTGAACCATTTTTACGGGAAAGTCGTGAAGCAATTAAAGCTCGACAAAATTCTCAAACAAAAATGATTGAATCAAATAATTCTATCATTAAATCGACCATCCATAAAATTTCGAGTGATACTAATTTTGTTAATGAACAAAACAAGGAAACAACAACAACAAATAATGATGAAGTCATGGCTATAAGTCCAACAGAAACACCGACAACAACAACAACAACATCATCATCATTAACATCTAAACAGATTGCATTAGTTCATTCGCCTGAATCTAAATCATTTACACATATAGCTACAATTTATCCACAGAATATAATCAACTTCAAACGACATTCTTTATTATTGAATACTAAAGATTTCGACCCAGAAAAGGAAAATGATTTTAATCAAAATATGGTAAAAATAGTTAAGGCCACAAATAGAAATATGACTACAGCTACAACTATGACGACAGCGACAACAACAACAGGCACAATAATGGTTCGTAATAATCATCAGAATAGATCGCTTGCATTCAAAATTCAATCAAACTGTTCATACAGATATACGGTGACGCCCAATTTAGGCGTACTTCTACCAGGAGCATTTATAGCTATACGAATTGTACGTAATGATGATGATGATGATGATGATGATAAACGAAATGATACGGATGATATTGGCAAAAATCCAGACCTAATTAATCAGTTGAATAAAATTCAGGACAAATTCCTTATTTTAATGTCTTCAACAATGTTGAATGCACAAATGCACTTGAAAAATATGAACGAATTTGATAAGCTATTTATCAAAGGTATCGATGATCACCAAATTTATATACATAAACTTTTGGTTAAATTTGATAACGATAATAATAATGATGATGATGATGAATTGTCTGTGAATAATCACAAACGCAATATGATGCGGAATTATCGTTTGAAAAAACCAAAAATGGAAACATTTATAGATGAAATGAAAATATTGCGACAAAAATGTCGAAAACTTGAACAACGACAATCACGAACAAATATTTTATTGACCATTATGATGATTCTGACGGTCATTGCATTAATATGGTTTATTAGTTTATCTCCTATGTTTAGATACCAATAATTAGATTTGATCAAATATATGATGATCAAACAGAATCACTGACCGACTGTGATTAATCATTATCGATGTTTGTTGAATGTTTATTTTTAATTTATATGTTTTTTTCATGTTATTTGTTATTTGTTTGTAACTGAACTGCAATAAAATTTATTAAACCAATTATTTTCAAATAATTATTTCAATTTTGGTGTTAGCCAGCATAATTCAATGAATCGTTTCTTTTTTATATATATAAATCATTTTATATCAATACAAACAAATAAATAATAAATATTCGATATAAAATATATATCCTGGGTGTTTCCTGTTCCAATAGTTTTTCCTGTATGTTCGAATGGCTGATGGTGAATAGTGTATAATGTTTAGAAACATTTTCTGTGGACAATGGCTGGGCCGGCTTCATCGTATTCCTGTTTGGAGATCCACATCTGTTGGAAGGTGGACAATGAGGCCAAGATGGAACCACCGATCCAGACTGAGTATTTTCGTTCTGGTGGAGCGATGATCTTGATTTTGATGGTGGCTGGGGCCAAGGCAGTGATTTCCTTTTGCATACGATCAGCAATACCTGGGTACATGGTTGTACCACCGGACAAGACTGTGTTGGCGAACAAATCTTTACGGATATCAATGTCGCACTTCATGATTGAGTTGTACGAGGTTTCATGGATACCGACAGCTTCCATACCCAAGAACGATGGTTGGAAGAGAGCTTCTGGAGCACGGAAACGTTCCGAACCGATGGAGATGACTTGACCATCAGGCAATTCGTATGATTTTTCCAAAGCCGAGGATGTGGCGGCAGTGGCCATTTCGTTATCGAAGTCCAAGGCGACGTAGCAGAGTTTTTCCTTGATGTCACGGACAATTTCTCGTTCAGCTGTGGTGACGAATGAATAACCACGTTCAGTCAAGATTTTCATCAAGTAATCAGTCAAGTCTCGACCAGCCATATCCAAACGAAGGATAGCGTGTGGGAGAGCATAACCTTCATAGATTGGGACGGTGTGGGTGACACCATCACCGGAATCCAAGACGATACCGGTGGTACGACCTGAAGCGTACAAGGACAAGACAGCTTGGATGGCGATGTAGACGGCTGGGCTGTTGAATGTCTCGAACATGATTTGGGTCATCTTTTCTCTGTTGGCTTTTGGATTCAATGGAGCTTCAGTCAACAAGACTGGGCTTTCTTCTGGGGCAATACGCAATTCATTGTAGAAGGTATGATGCCAGATCTTTTCCATATCATCCCAGTTGGTTACGATACCGTGTTCAATTGGATATTTCAAGGTAAGGATACCTCTTTTTGATTGGGCTTCATCACCAACGTATGAATCTTTGTTGCCCATACCAACCATGACACCTTGATGTCTTGGTCGACCAACAATTGATGGAAATACGGCTCGTGGAGCATCATCACCGGCGAAACCGGCTTTGCACATACCGGAACCATTGTCAACAACCAATGCGGTTACTTCGTCGTCACACATTTTGTTTTTGGTGATTTCTGGAACTTTAGTTCAATCAAGTAAACAATTTAAAATTTTTTGGAAACACTTTACGTGACCGTGGCTGGCAACTTCGAAACGAAACTGAATCTGTTGAACATTCCATTCAAAGTTTTTATATGAACTATGCAAAGATGCTTTGATCGGCAGACAAATCATCATTGTGGTAGAGTTGATTACCAAGCTGATAGGGAAAGAATAATGATGAAAAAGAGGAGGAGGAAGAGAGGGATAAAATTCTCGTCAGGATTTGCTATTTTCAATCTAGATTCTTTATGCAGTTGTGGTTGCCAACATGTCTAACATTGCAATCAACGGATCATCGACAACGCCCGTATTTTACAAGAATCCTCATTGTAGAATTATTTCCCACCAAAAACACAAATATGTTCATTTAGATGAAAAATATAGACATTCATAGTATTTTTGTTTGGGGAATAAAAAGACCATGTGTGTGTGTATATATGTAAGATGTTTTCCATTCAATTTTTTTTCTTTCAAAAAAGATATTTTCATCCATCATCTTCTATACATTTGTTCATATTCTGTCCAAATCAAGCCACAGCTATCAAAACCGAATCAAAAAAAAAATGTTTGCATGGCTGTCGAATGGCACTATGTGTAGCGGGTGTGTTGCAAATCTATTTAGACGAATAAATACTGAAGAAACATACATCGAGTCACAATTTATAAATGTTTAAGCTATTTCAGTCAGGATTCTCTATGTCTGTTGATGTTAATGATGATGATGATGATTGCTTCAATTTTGATGAAGAAAATCTAGTGTTTTTTCAAAACGAAAATAGAATTTCGATAGAATGAATGTCTAGAATCAAACTGTGTATGGATTTGGTTTGCTTCGAATTCATGTCATTTAGACAAAGCAACGAACTGAACGGTTGAATACTGTGTTTAGTCATACAACTTCCTTGGTTTGTTTTATTCAGATGTAATAAATTGAAGAAAAAAAATGAGGGAAATTTTCAATTTTTTAAATTTGTTTTTCGATGCCAATTTTGTCCATTCGACAATCATTAACCACTACTACTCATTGATATTAGTTAATGTGTATTCCACATCATCATCATCGATGCTGTTTTTCATGATGATCAAGTAGAATTTTCAAAAAAAAAATCTAAAGATAATCATAATATTGTTTGGCGTAAAATCAGAATCTGGTTCAAACTGTTGAGCCTGGCAAAAGATTCAATGCTGTTGTTGTTTTTCCATTCGAATGAAATGTGAATCAAATTTTCCTACCATTTATGTTCAAGGCTTACCATATACTACCATTTATTTAAATTTTTTTCTCTCTTCTACAATTATTTATGATGAATTTGTTGTTGTTGTGATGGAATCTTGATTTTTGAAGCAATAAAAAATAAGAAACCAAACTTAACCAGCAACAATATCTTGTGCATCAAACGATCATCATATTTATATATAACCGAGTGATTGGTTGAAATGCTATAGAAAAACTCTTTTCAACTAATTCTTAATTGAATTCTTTCACACACATGATAGACATTTTAAAAAATCTTACTAAACATTCTTGAATTCTATATTGGTCTTAATGAAAAAGATGTACAAAGTAAAACAGAAGATTTCACCTGTTTTTTCATTCATGAAATAATGAAAAACTTATCAATTTGTGTAGAATTTTTTGAAAATGACCAATATCCACAAAGAATTATTTTCAGATAAAAAAATTGGAAATTAATTTTTTTTTTATAGAAAAAATTTTCGAAAAGATGGCGACACTTAAAAACTACCCTAACAGAATCTCATATTTTTTTCAATAAAATGAAAACAAAAAGCGAAATGATAAAAAGATTTTTTTTTGATATTCGGCTTGGTTTTATTTATCAGTATCCAGAGATATAATTGCATCGATCGTTTACATGTTTATGCATTAAGGCAAATCAAATTTATGACATAGATAAAAGACAGACTGTGATTGATTTTGGATGTTTGATTGTAATAATTATTGTCATATTAATAATAAATAAATATAATCGATATTCGGATAGACAGTACAAAAAAATTAGAAACATTTTCTGTGGACAATGGCTGGGCCTGCTTCATCGTATTCCTGTTTGGAGATCCACATCTGTTGGAAAGTGGACAATGAGGCCAAGATGGAACCACCGATCCAGACTGAGTATTTTCGTTCTGGTGGAGCGATGATCTTGATTTTGATGGTGGCTGGGGCCAAGGCAGTGATTTCCTTTTGCATACGATCAGCAATACCTGGGTACATGGTTGTACCACCGGACAAGAC